ACAAAGATCAATGTTTTAACAATTTATCTATGTTGTAATTTCTCCTTATTTCTTTTCATATTGATGATTACGAAGCATTAGTAGTAGTGAGTTCAGAGTTAACTCATACTTAGCACCAGTCGACGTTGGTAATTATGGACCTCATCTCGCATGTTGCTCACTAGAGCGAATATTTAAGAGGAAATTTATCGTACGTCTCTAATCGAATGGAATGACCGACGACGGTGGACATTTCGCCGCACCTTCGTGTCCATCATCGATTGTAATAAAGTTCATAAATTAACGACCTGCGAGGCTATTAACGCGCACAAACATTCCTGTCCCGGAGATATTGGAATCTGAGGCTCATTAAGACGCAAATGAGAAGTAGCGCAAGTGACGCACCGTAAGCGTTACACTGTATATTTTTCTTTCTCCTTACTGAACGTAATTTCTCATAAATAACTTTTGATGTATATAAGCACGATACCTATAAGCCTTCTATCTTATTGCATAAGATTCGGAATTATTCTATCTTTTAAATTCACATCTTAAGATCTCATAAGATCACATTTTTTTTTATCTTTTCTGAGTATAATTTTCATAAAATAATATTTTTTATTATCTTTTTTTTATAATGCATATATGTATTTATTCTTTACCAGAAACATATAAAATGGACAAATTGTACTACTTTCAATTTGAAAATCTCACCGATTATGTGTGCTACTGCCATCTGACGAAGATTAGGAGAAGGATTAAGTGAAAGAAATCTTCTCCTACAGCTAAAGCATTCCACGCCATCTGTAATGGTAACTAAAGTTTAATTTATAATAAAAAAAATATTATCAACAATAGTAAATATAGAGTACTTTTTACATGTTAAATATAATTTAGTACTAAAAAATTGTATATAGTCATAAAAAATAAATCAAAATTTACAAACTGTTGTAAATATTGTAATGTACAAAAGTAAATCTTACAGAATAAAATATGTATTAAAATTTAAATTAAATCGAAATAAATTTTACTTAGCAGAGCAATATTTAATAAAATTGAATACATCTCTATGACATTAAATCTCGTTTGACAAGATCAAATTTGAAAATTTTTAATAAAATTTTAAATAAATTTATAAATATTTAAATAATTTTTAAAATTTAGACGTGTTGAATTTTTCATTTACATAAACTTTGAAAAATACAAAAACATTTTGAACATTATTTTTCAATGATAAAGTTACATTCTAACTTAGAATATTAAATGATCGCTCTGGTAAAGCTTTTAGCTGATACGAAACTGGTTTGAATCCTTATCATTCGCGATCTACTTGATATACGAACCATGTGATTGTTAAACAATCTGATATTGCAAATGCAAATAAAAATCCAGTAAGAAGAAGCTAAACAGGATGTGAACCAATGACGTAACATGTGGGTCAAATATTTTAGCAACAATTATCGCGTGCAGTAACAATCTTACGCTCGATCTCTTAAACGACCGTTAATAGTGTTAAGTGAAACAACCTAGGCATCAATAATGAATCTGACATGATTAGTAACAATTAGTTCATCGTTTCTTCGATTAAGCTAATCAATAAATTGAAAATAAGAACATTTTAGCCAAGAGATCTATAACAAATAAGAAAAGAATAATAATTTATTTTCTTATTTTTCCATCATAATTTCCTAGTTTCATATTTTAAAAATATAATAATTAAAATATGATTATAAAAATATGATTATAAACATTAAAATATGATTGAAAAAGTATTTTAAAAAAATTAAGATTTCATTTAATTCTTTTCGGGTCATTTAATTCTTTTTGGGTCTTAACGTATTCTATAAGCCAAAAAGATTTTCATTTTCAGATACAGCGATGGAAATTGCATTGCAAAACATTGCGTGTTTCCTAAAATAAGTAGAGACCTTGACAGCTATTTAATATAGATTCGCTTACACGAAGATCAGATTTGGATTTTCGTTAAGCGTTAGAACATGCAGAATTCTATTACTCGTCAGCTCTTTATTTTCATTTGCGACCCATTTATAGTTGATTCGCGAATTAATTGGCACAGAAGATTTATGTATCGAGCGTAAGTGGTCGCATATATGTTGTACACGCTTTTATATAACGTGCACAGAGATAAGAGACTTGCTTAGCCTTGAAAACACATAGAAATAAAGGACATAAAGAAAGATTTTCAGACATTGTCCCATTCCTTCTGCAATCGCATGTCAAGATACGAAAAATATTTATATTTATATTTTTCATATTTTTCATATTTTTTCATATTTAAGTGTGCATTCTTAATAAAGTTTTCTATTTTAATTTCATGTTATTAGAAAAGTTATGACAATAAAATAAGAAAATGGTTTATTCCTATACGTTGCTTTCTTTTTTATTTTATAATATTTTTTTGTTTGTATTCATGATGCTTAAAATTTGATTTATGCATCAAAATGCTCATGTACTCAATCATCAGATTGTTGAAATATCGTGTACATACGTACACCTGAACAATTATAAATTACAAACACACAAAAGTATAAATTTCAATTTGAATATGGTTTTTTATAATTCATGTATTTCTGTCTAATTAATCTAATTTGGTCTAATAATTAAAAAATCCACAAGAAATTTCTTTAAAAAAGATCGAAGATTATTCACAAATATTTTAATTAAAAAAAACAATCTATTTCTTAAACGAATCACAAAATAGAAATCCACGAAGTAATAATCCGAATAATTGAAGAACTATTTATAAATATACGTTTAGAATTAATCATAAATTTCATAATTAATTACGCTTTTTATCAAAAATAATTGACAACTATAAATACTGATCTAAATCTTTGCACATATGACACGCAACACATGCGTAAATAGCAACCCTGAAGAAAGCATATGAAGTTAAATAGTATGATCGCGCATCGGTGAAAATGCTAATGGATCTGATATTTGTAAGGTCAAGGCGTAACTTGTATCATCGCGTACGAATGGAAAACTTATCATACATGACCTTGAGCTTACAAATATCAGATTCATTGGCTTATCGAAATATAATTTATTATATCAATCAAAAAGGGCTAAAAAGTGTTCATGATTTTTATAAGAATTATGCAAAAGAATACTATGATCTAATAAGTAAAACAACTGTTGCTATCATTTATTTCCATAGAACTTGTACAAGTTCTTGGATTGCCAATCGCTTATTATTAATAATCGTGCCTGTTTCCATTTAAAAAATTCACTCAAAAATTGTTCAAAAAAAACATTGAACTTCGCATGCATTTAAATATAAGATATTCGTTTTATCTCTGAAGTGTCTATATGTCTCATTATCGGATTATGTGATCATTTTGATATACGTAATTGCCAAGAGAAATGTTTGTAAAAACAACTTTGAATGTCGTTAGTGTGAAAACTCGTTTTGTACTAAGGAAACGCATGAACGTTATGCGTTTAATCGCAAACAGTTTGCGTCTAATTGGCTTCAAGGAAGTTTAGTATATATATGATGTGATATATATGATACGTTTGAATTGGCTGTATAGCTGCGGAAGAATCGTTTTTAATGTAGACTACACTATCAATATTTTTACAATAAAAGTTATTGTAAGCAATACATCTATCATTTATCAGAATACATCCATTATTTTGTTAATTATATCCAAATTTTGGCTTTTATAATTCCTTAAAATATACTTTCTTTATCAAACGTATTAGTTATTATTATTATTTATTTAATAAATATAATTCGCGTAAAAAGAATTACTAGTTACAAAATATATAAATAATATAAAAATATTTTATTTATTTTATATTGCATTTTTATTTTTAAAACATTCATGTGTTTCTAAAAATTAATTCTACAACTCGCAACATCTGACGTAACATAATAATTAATAAAATCTATTTCAGAGAATTTATTACGGACTTTATTAATTGTAGATTTATTTTATTCTTATATTAAACTTTATAATTATATATAAACAAAATAAAAATTAATAATGTACTAGATAAAAATAAAAAATATATAACATATGTTCTACATTTTAATATTATTTTTCACATATACAATTATTATAATTTCATATTATAATTATTTTGTAACATGAATCAAATTTTTATCGTCTTAAGCAGATACAAAACGAGGTAAGGCGAGAAAAGAAAATAAATGCGACGAGATAGCCGACTGCTAATTCTTGGTTAAAAGACACTTATCCGGTTTAGAAGTAATTGTCCGACTCAAATCTCATCGTTCGTCCTATCATGGAAGGCTATACTGAATTGCGCTTGACAGTGATCACATGCTGAGCGCGTCAAATGCGACAGGTCGACAACCCTCTTTATATTTGTTCCCATTATCAGGAATTATTCAGAGTGACGCTAAGCGATAAAGTAATTGTGCAACGATTAAAAGGCAAAAATTTTTTTGGAAGCTCGCTGTCATTTTGCGAGAAGCATTTGACCATCTTCGTTTCCTTCTGGAACGAGACGGTGGAAAGTGCGATCGTCTCCCTCCACACTGACAAAACCCGACCTTCTGATACTCCGCTAACGAGTCGGATGTGTTTAGGGCCAATTTGTCTATTATCTCGTTGTCAGTTTTATTTATTACACTTCTAACATCTCTCACGACACGGGGCATACGTGCGACTTCCACCAGTCTGAGATTCCTCGGTGCAAGTTAATTAACTCTGATTTCTCGACTGGTGTCTTCGCACCAAAGTCGTCAACGTACATGTACTTTGCGTGACCGACTCTCAAGGATCGACGTACTCTTTCTCATTGCATCTATTTAGTTGGTCAATGAAAATTTGTAACTTAAATGTATTATACGCAAGTTCTTAGAGACTAAGAAGTTGCGTCTATAGTTTACTATTACTTCATCTTTCTTTCTTCTTTTATAATTTTATAAAATTCTATTCTAAAATTTTTCTCAAAAATAGCGTTTTCTCCTCGAAATCTCTTATGACTCTTTTTTTTTTTTTTAATTAAAGATTCGATAAACTCGGAGGAAGCAAATATCGAACGAGTTCGCGGTACCCTCGGATGATACGCAACTGGGTACGTGGGTGGAGGAAAAGCCTGGTAGCACGACCGGAGTACGGGGAGAGTGAAGCTAATATGCCAGTCGTGAGCGCGATTCCGTCGCGCCGCGTACTTGAGGAGCCGCACGCGGCGAAGAAGCGCGAAGAGGGAGAGGGAACCCCCGAAAAAGAAGAGGAGATTCTCTCTCGCCGAGGGACTCGTCGGGACGCGGTTCAATCCGTTCACGTTCGAAAACGCGATCGGAAGACGGATTTTCCCGCGATTTTCCTGCTTCTTCCAAAATTCCCGACAGAAAGTGAGCGGGGAACTTCCTTCTCGTTCTTAAGAGACACATCTTCCGCGATTGCACAAATACCCAAAGATCTCGATCGATCGATTGTTATTGAATATTGCGAATCTTCGTCGAACGATAAGTGAGTGATTTTTTTGGAGCAAATAATTTTCAAGAAGACAAAATCGTCGGTAAGACCGATATAAATATAATTAATTGATAATTTAAATATGTATACGAAATATGTATACTTGCCATTCTCTCGATTTTATTCTCTTTAATGTATAAATTTAACATAATACGATTAGGAAACTGACATTTATTTTTTAGTGCATGACTTCTCACGTGTTTCTCGTTCATAACAAGGAAGTATAGATATATGTCAATTTCGTAAAGAGGAAAAATATTATAACTCGACACATTCGGATTAATCTCGTATCTTTTGACTTAATAAGAGATGACCTTAATTGCTAGTAATCTGCGATAAAGCTTCAAATCGTGACAAATAACGTTTCAATTATTTCCACAATTTAAAATTTAGAAATATAATTCAAATTTTCACAATAAACCTTCAATAAAAATAAGAAACATCTCGTAAATTCAATATTTTTATGCACAATTTTTTGGAGTAATTATTTCAATTAAGAACGTCTAAAAAAGTTTTAATTAATCTTCTTCATAAAAGATTAGACTTCGCGCATAATGCGCGAAATTGTCAACAGAAATATAAAATTTTTGTAGTTTGCTAAAAAATAACTCGCTTTGCATGATATTATTGTACATTTACGCCGAGGAAACTTAGTACTTGCGCTTCTTCTGTGGTGCTAATTGTTGCGCTCTTCGTATTACCGTGGATCTGGTTTCAACAGATCATTTCTATTTACCTTACATAAATTTGAAATGTTCATGTCCATCGAAATGCACAGACGATGATACTTTCCTGATAACGACGATATTTTATATTTCAAAGATATCTGTGGAATGTGAACTATATATCTCCAACGCGTTTAAAAAAATAGCTCGAAAAAAATAGTTCGATTATATAAATTATATATTCATTGTCAATTTATTTATCATTAAATTAATAAAAATATGTGTTTTGAAGATACATCAATTTTTTTCAAAATTTAGTAATAATCCGTATTTATCGTAAAAGTATTTTTTTACGAAAATACAAAAATACAATACAAATACGAAAACGTCATGACGATATTCATAACAATATTCACAGAACACAAAGATATCAAGTATAATCCAGTTACTTTTGTTTAAAAGAAAAGATCTTCTGACACATACGCCAAACATTCCACACTGTTAAATTATCACATTCTATGAAAATTAACATGACAAAAAGAATATTAGTAACATCGTTCACATACGTTCTTTCTTTTACTTAAATAATTTTTCTTCTAATAAGAAGAAGAAATTTAAATAAATTTCATTTTAGAGAGAAAACGCTTAAATTTCGGCAACTAGTCACGCGCCTGAGTCAGAAACTCCTTATCGTCACTCACTAATCAATTCCTTTCACGATTTTCGTGTAGTTTATTCCGTAGCTTATTCCGTGGTTACACGACCAACTTCCTCCATGCAAATCGTCACTTTTATTCAAACAATAGTATCATATGCCACGAGACGTCGTCTCTCCCGAACCGTATAAAAGTCCGGGGACAACGAGACTCGACACGTGGTGTGAGTCATTTGCTGTATTACGTGCGTGACTACAACTAGAAATATTCTTTTCAACGGAAAAGCTTATAGATCGTTCTCTATCTTCACGGAGACCTAACTATATTGTCCGCACATGTATTATCTAACAGGTGATCGCAGTTGCTTTCTCCGTCGCGATATATTTTTCATTTCGCGTTATATTAAAATATCGAAAAATTTTCGAATTAGCGCAAACCTTATCAATTTTTTTATCGCAAAACGATAAAGGCTCGACATTTTTCCGACATGTTCGAAATATCTTTGTACTTTTTTACAAGGCGTTACTCCGAACCAAAAACATGAACACTTTATGATGACCCAGTCGTCGGTTTTGTTCGATATATCGATCTTCCGACGACTAGAGAAAGAGAGAGAGAGAGAGAGA